TATATTTTTCTTGCATGTTATACCCGAGCGCACTTGTGCACAAGGGTATTATAACTTTGTTCACATAACGGTTGTTTGTAACAGGCAAAACGAATCGAGATAGATATAGACAAATGTATACATAAATGATCAGAATGAAAAGTGAAATCGATTAAGCGGTGACTGTCTGTCCGTCCGTCCGTCCGTCCGTCCGTCTGTGCACACGATAACTCGAGTAAAAATTGAGATATCTTAACGAAACTTGGTACGTGGACTTCTTTTGGGCACAGGACGGACGGTATTGAAAATGGGCGAAATCGGACAATAACCACGCCTACCTCCCATATAACGGTAATTTTCAGAAATACGAAGAGTGCGATATTTTAGTAACTACTGAAGATAATTCACTCAAAATTGATATTTACAATGAGTTTTAGACGAAAAATAAGAATATGAAAAAATTTTGGCAAATGGGCGTAGCCACGCCTACTTATGGTTACATGTGTATATCTTGGTAACCGCTGCACCAATTTCTTCCAAACTTGGCACAGTTGTTGGTCCTGCTACAACATACCAAATGGCCGAAAACTTTTAAAATCGGACAATAACCACGCCCACATCCCATATAACGGTAATTTAGAAAAATACGAAATCCTCGATAAATCAATAAATAGTAAAGCTAATTTATTTAAAATTGATGGTTGCAACAATTTTTTACCAAGAAATACGCTTATGAAACAATTTTGGAAAATGGGCGTGGCACCGCCCACTTATGATCACATATATGTATCTCGCTAACCGTTCTAGCAATTTGAACCAAACTCGGTATGGTTATTGTGCTTGCCACGTAAAAGCAAAGCGTTGAAAATTATTGAAATCGGACTAAAATTACGACCGCTTTTCATATAACGGTATATTTCAGAAATGCTTGAAACTGCAATATTTCGAAATTTAAGGACGCTAATTTACTTAAAATTTATACACCCCGGATTATCGTGTAGCGGTAGCTTTCGGAAAGGTGGAAAACATATATTTAATAATTGCGCCGGGTATTTAATGTTCGGCTCCGCCCGAACTTAGACTTTCTTACTTGTTTTAGATTAAATTTCTTACAATGTTTCTTAAATATTATTTGCTTGACGATGTTTTTGTTATATATACTCTGCTTATTCTTCCTCCTCCTCTAATATTTATAACGCTTGCTGACATGTTTTGGAGTTTCTTAGTTTTATTCGTTTAGTTCAAGCGTAAATATGTATTTGCTCACACGTGCAGCAAGTTTAACAAACCTTAGCGCGATGAGCGGAAATATATCAAAATAATTCAAGTTTAAATTTTTTTCAACAAATGCAGCTAAAAAAACATAGGTGAAACATGCCTTCGTCATCAGCGAAAAGTATTTTTTTAATACCGAAATATATACATATATATACAGAAATTGTGCAATGCTTTTTAACCGGAGACTAAAATGAAAATGATACAATGAATTAATTTTCATACCGTATTTCCAGAATAAAATTAGAATCCTTCCTCATTGTAGAACCTAATTTCCTCATGACTTAAAAAATATTGGCCTTTTATTACGTCGAGCAAGAAACGCCAATTATTTTTTGCTTTTTGGTTTTTACCTTAGCGTTATCCTGATATTTTTTT